CGTAAGTTTCGTCGGTACGAAGTTACGGAAAATTAATTAACACACGGAGACGTAACAGTATTTTATCTGAAACTCCCATTTCAGTATTAGTTTTGCACACACATCTATCTGTACTGTGGCAGTAGCTTCATTGACCGAGCAATTGGTCGAGTAGTTAGCGAGCTCGGACTGTGAATCCGAGGGTTCATGGTTCGCTGCTTGTTACCCTGCTCTAACAGTCACGGTCAAATTCCATTATTCAGTCAGACAAGAGTAGCCCAAGAGATAGTGATGTGTATTGTTGACTAACTGTCTTCTCTCTAGTCTATCAGTTCAAAATTAGGTACGGCTATACTATTTGTGCAAAATACAGAAACAAAAAATATCTTTTTTGTACTGCGATAATTTTTTTTTTTCAGTTTTGAAATGCATGAGTTTCAGTAGTTCTCGAAACAGCTTCTAGCCCGATATCGCAGAAGGAAACAAAGTTCACCTAGTGAGGGGTTGGTGCTATAGTGTATATTAGGCCTAAGCGTGTTCATTCTATGAGAATCATGGGTATGATCCCTTGAAAATGTGACATTTACAGACTTCAAATAGAGGAATTTCATGGTGAGACGCAGACACTTAATGTAAGCTTCTCAGCTTAAAAATTATGAACAGATAATAGCCTGCACCCACTAGGCGTAGACCTGTGTGGTCTTACACCTCTATTTCTCTTACGGTTCAAACGCCTACGGAAATAGTTTCAACGTTATTCTATACACGATTAAATTTTATCTACATCCCCTTCATATAACATTCTCGATAATGCGGAATTTAGCATCCACGATGTTTTCATCGCTCATTCTTTAATTTGTTTATTCTTAAAACTGGTTGATTCTATTTTTTTCATTAAACGCTTTCTGGTCACATTTTTTATGCCTTTCTCTAATTTCGTGGCTTTGTTCTTGCGTTATTTTTCAAAATATTCGGTAATGCCTTTGACTTTTGTAATTCAGCTTTTCTGTCTGGTTCTAGGTCGCCGGCATGGCCAGGTGGTTAGGGCGCTCGACTCGCAATCTGAGGGTCCCGGATTCGAATCCCCGTCACACCAAACATACTCGCCCTTTCACCCATGGGGGCGTTATAATGAGACGATCAATCCCACTATTCGTTGGTAAAAGAGTAGCCCAAGAGGTGGCGGTGGGTGGTGATGACTAGCTGCTTTCCTTCTAGTCTTACACTGCTAAATTAGGGACGGCTAGCGCAGATAGCCCTCGTGTAGCTTTGCGCAAAATTCAGAACAAATAAAGAATCGTTCTAGGTCTCACTCTTCTTTCTAACATTTTGCTCCTCCCTATTGTTTTTTATTGACTGTTACCATTGTTGGACAATATCCAAACTATTTTAAGCTCTTTCTTTTGTTAGCATTTTCCAATTTGTAGTTATTTATAACTATCTTTTTCATTGTTGACAAGTTGTTATGCACTACTCGAAATTATTTTGGGATTGATAGACGTAAAAAGAAAAAGAAAATATGATTTACTGAAGTAATATGTGTAACCAAATTCATTTTTGTAAACTATATAATTCTGAGCATTAAAATAGGTAATGCATCTCAAAATAATCGCAATTTCAGTCTGCTTTCATCTTAGACTATATGTACTCTTCACATAATCGGTACCAAGACCCGATTCTTAGTGCTATAAGCCTTCAGACTTAGCCCTGGTGGTTAGGGCACTCGATTCGCCATCTGCGTGTCACGAGTTTAAATCCCGACACTGAACATGCTCGCCCTTTCAGCCGTGGGACTATTATAATATTACGAACAATCCCACTTTTTGTTGGTAAAAGAGTAATCCAAGAGTTGGCAGTGAGTGGTTTTGAGTACCTGCCTTCTTTCTAGACTATCATTTCTAAATTAGAAATAATTACCTCGAGCAGCTTTATGTGGAATTCAATAAATAAACCCTCAGATTTACCGGTGAACCACCGGGTGATAATTGTATTATTCAAATCGAGCTAATGCTGATACAACAATCTAGCTTGCCAAGTATAAACTGTTTGAGAATACCAGAATATAAACTACTGATATACTTTCTTTTGGTTGTTTACAAAGATTCTCTGTGGGCATCAAAACTATTTGGAGTCGGTTGCATACTACTAAGTCACCCTAATATAAACAAACACACGCTCATGTGGCCTAATAACTTTTTTGAGAAGTCGGTGTATTCCTAATTAGGCTACTGTTATTATTGATTTCGAGAAAAAAATGGCCTAATAACTTTTTTGAGAAGTCGGTGTTATTCCTAATTAGGCTAGTGTTATTATTGATTTCGAGAAAGAAAAAAAAATTTCCTAATAATATCGGCCAAAAGTTTGCACATAATTACAAAGTAAATCAACAAATATTGATGCTACAGAAAAAACAGCTTTATTTTTTTCATTTTGCAAGAAGAAACAATTTACACCAAAAAAAAAGTTACTGCAAAACAGAAGTAAACAAATAATTACTTGTATAAAGAACCGTTATCATTATTAACAATAAAACGATTCTTTAAATAAAACATTTAAAATCATTTTTCTAGACTTTCATTTTTATAGTAGTACCTCTAAGTTACGTATAATTTGATGTCGTATGCTTAGAAGGTTCAAATGTAGGCCTAACAACATAATGCACTGCAATGATTTTAGTTCGATGGCTAACTTCATAGCATGATGATCTCCTTTTCCTCTACAAAACTGAACAAAATGGCGGCTGTATAGTTTGTTACAGTAATGGTCCTTGATTACTAAACATTATCTTGGTAAAGTTTGTAGTTAGACACAAAGCTACACAATGGGCTAGATGTGCTATGCCCACCACGAGTACCGAAACCCACTTTCTAGCGTTTTAAGTCCATAGACTTCTCGCTGTGCATTGGGACTCTTGGTAAATAACTTCCAATAAAGCTTCTGTCGTACATATATTGACATATGGCTATTTTCCCATTTTCATTGCTATTCACATTTCTAAGATTGTAACTTGCATTGTTATATGTTTTCCAGACGTTAAAGACAACTTATATGAGTTGAGATAAATTATTTGTTTATTTTATCAAAGATGAATAATAGGCTAACTGTGCTGTACCAATCGCAGGGATCACACGTCAATCGTTGCGTTATAAGCCCTCAAGCTTACCGCTTGAACCACGAGAGACATAAGTTTCAATAAGTAACTCCAAAAAAGTTTGACTGCGTAAGTGTTAGCATTGTTTTGGGGTGGGTGGGGGATGATTTGTATCACGCTATTTACAAGCCTGTCTCAACGTTCTGCCAAATTGGATTGTTTTCTTTATGAGGGAAGGTTTAACCAATAAAACTACAGCTTTTGAAATTGTATATGTCTTCTTATGATTATTTTAATAATGAAAAATATATAAAATATTTGGAGACATCGACTTTTATAAGGCTTTTGTTTATGACAATTTCACAGAACAGAAAACAACAACAAATAAATGTCCCGGCCTTAATTAGTCTGTTACTAGTTTGGATTTGTGAATTCAAAATATTGATAATCTAGTATCATTAAATATTAGTTAATAATTCAACGTATTTAATGTACTGCAATCATTATTGAATTCACATGAATTTTACCCAAAAAGACATATCAGTTGCTATGTCTTAATTTTCGTAAAAATAGGATAATCATTTCGCAATAAACATTTATACAAAATAGTTGATTTAATTAAGTAAGAATGACGCATTACAATAAAAGAAATTGCCAAAAATATTTCATACTGTCTACTCAGACAGTTCATGCATATTTATTCTGTCGATTCTCTATTTTACACAAGCGACAACTTAATATTTACATTTGTTTACTGATGTTCTAAAAGCATATCTAGAAATTTCAAGCAAGCATGTCATAGAATCACACTCGATCCTCTCAACAATCTGATGATGATACGTCATAGCGCCCTACTCGACCCTTCCAACAATGTATTGATGATATCATAACATTCCCTGTCCCTCCAAACAATTTGATGATCAAAAGTCATAGAATCCCACTTGACCTCTCTCCAACAATTTGAAAGATAACACGCATATTGTGCCTCTCGACCCTCTCAACAATCCGTTGATGACATGTCATAGAATTCCACACGACCCTCCCAACAATCCGTTGATGACATGTCATAGAATCCCACACGACCCTCCCAAAAATCCGTTGATGACATGTCACAGAATCTAATTCGACCCGGCCCCGAAAATTTGGAGCATGATACTCATAGCTTCCCATTCGAATTCCCTAAATAATTTGAAGCATTATACTTCATATCGATCCCACTCGATCCTACCAAGAAAAAGATGAATTCTTGGAGTTAAATTTCTTTAAGATCCCACCTTTAAACTCTTTCAAAGGCATAATCATGTGTGTATTGAAAGAGAACATACACCAAGTTTTTTTTTATAAAATTTAAGACGTATATAAAACCTATTTGGATATAAATGTATATCATCGGTCCAGCTGTTGCCATGGTAGCTGAGATAACTCAAAGCTGCTGTACTCAGCTGATTATAGTAAGGTACTTGATAGCTAATAGTATTAAGCATATTTCTCATGACCATAAGGTAAGCGAGAAAAGTGTTTTCAGTTTTATACATTGTTCAACGAGGTTCACTTGTTTCCTTACATTATATAACGTGAATTTGAAAAAATGGGAGGACTGTTAAACATAGCATATCGTAATTAATCTGATTTCAGAAGGACTGCATTTTGGACAAAATAATTATTTGCTTTGCATTCTATTAAAAATATGAAACAAACGCCCGTAGAAATAAAGCATCTGGACTGCAATCTCTTTTAGGATATAAATATTTGTCAAAACATTTCAATATAAACTTCGTAGGATTATAATTATCTTGGTCAATAAAAAAAAAGTACAATACTAATCACGCTGCTGTTTAGCACATCGTCAACGCCCATTGTCACAAACTTTTCTAATTATTCTATAAGCAAGTCTAAATAGTTCTTATGAGGACAACCGTCTGTGAATATTACAGTAGCGTTAGGCTTCACTTCTTTTATTTTCACATAACCCCAATTATTCGTCAAAGGCCTTCACTAGCAATAATAAAGCCTGTAGTCATCTTTCAGTATAAATTGTCCTTATTAGGACAGTTAATGTAGTATCTGATGCATCTCTTCCACTGTCATTGACTACGTCACACTTTGGTGTTTTTGCTGTAATTCGATGAGTACTTCTTGAAGGTAGAAGAATCAAAATTTCCAAGAATGAATTCGCTGTTGACAGAGGCCATCTCTTCTGAGGTAGCCTAATTAGTAATAATCAGAAGATTTCATAATACAGTACACAATAAATGAACAATCAAAACTGTTAGAAATTACTTTATTTACGGTTTTTCTATTTTTTTTAACTGCCCAAATACTTTTAGTCTCTGACTGTATCTGAATGTCCGTGGAAACCATCATATATTTATCCCCGTAAAGCCATATACATATACATATTTTCGTGAAGCGTAAATTGTTCAATTGTTTTTTGATTGTTACTTAAGTAAGCATGGCCCAAAGAAAACTTAACCCAAAATACAAGTTGGTTATTCATCCATTTTCGATACAAGCGCAGAAATAGGAAGGTTACAATGAAATACTTTATCAATAGCTAAACCTACATTTTTTCGTTTCTGCAGTACTTAAAATGATAAGATTCTGCAGATGTAAAATACTGAATTTGGACACGGGGTAAAGGTGAAGAAAGAGATAATGATGGCATAAGGAGCGAATACTTTTATATATTCACATTTGATATAGGGTTAGAAATAGTGATGAAGAACTAAGGGTGCCACATAGCTTCAACAAGATATAAATAGCTCAGTTTCCTTTGTTCAGACATGGCTTCAATTTACGTATAAGTTTACATGGGGAGTTATGGTTGATATGAAAATATATTGTTGACATGGGGAATTAGGGTTGATATGAAGAGTTAGAGTTGACATGGGGAATTAAGGCTAATATGAAGATATAGTGGACATGTGAAGTTAGGGTTGATATGAAGATATAGAGTTGACATGAGGAGTTAGGGTTGATATGAAGATATAGAATTGACATGGAGAGTTATGGGGAATTAGATTTGACATATAGTAAATGGTTGAGACAGAATTAGAGTTGACATATAGTAGTTAATGGTTGAGACAGAATTAGAGTTGACATATAGCAGTTAATAGTTGATATGGAGAATTAGAGTTGACATATAGTAGTAAATGGTTGAGACAGAATTAGAGTTGACATATAGTAGTTAATGGTTGAGACAGAATTAGAGTTGACATATAGTAGTAAATGGTTGAGACAGAATTAGAGTTGACATATAGTAGTTAATGGTTGATATGGAGAATTAGAGTTGATATATAGTTAATTATAGTTGATATACAGTTAAAGTTGATATTGGAAGCTAGTATTGCACTAATTCAAAAGAGGATTAAAGCCACGGCCGCAAGACTGACAAAGGTATTATCAATTTGAAGCATTGTGGGATATGTTTTGAAATGACCCATTTGGAAATGGGAGGAGGTTGGTGTTCTAGTACTGGAGAAAGGATTCGTTGAATATGATCGTAATTACTATAGAGAGTTATATTTATGATTTTGTTTTGACTTGTTTAATTATAGCACGATATCAGTTTTTAAAACTTGCATGTAATTATGACATGACGAAGTTCTTATTTATGTTGACTGTCTCACAAGGCTTGAAATAAAGAATTATCTATGCAGGACAAACTTCAATGTAACATGATAGATATTGACCGCAGTGCTTAAATAACTTCATTTCCCCCTATAAAGACACCTTTATTAAAAGCAATTACAATGTAAGTGGTTTCCAAGTTACACACGTACAAGTCAGAGTTGTTAGAAAAAGAAAACTACTTCTTTAATAGTTAGGTAAACTGAGATAATTGGTTGAAAAATCAGAATACCGATGTAACAATTGTCCCACCCATGTACACACTATTTTAAGGCTTACTATCTCGTGAGATTGTAAGAATATTGTCATACATCTAATAATAGTGTTGCGTCAGCGAGTCACATGACCACCGTGACGCCACGTTTCTAGAACTATCCTGTAATTTGGCGAATGCTCTAGTAATTACTAGATATAGGGTAGGCTGGTATATAAAAGAGGGGAATGTAATGTGTGGGCAGACAGTGAGTAATTGAACTGCAGTCACAGGGTATTGTTGAAGTTAACGTTCGTTCGTTATAGTGTTTGTTTTAGCGCGAATATTGAAACTAGTTGTATCGTAAAGTTATATTCGGAAAGAATAAACCAGTTTTATTAAGTAAGGACTTGTGTCGTTAAAGTTTCGTCGGAACGAAGTTACGGAAAATTAATTAACACACGGAGACGTAACAATACCAAACTTAGTTCACATTAAGCCTACTCTGCCTCTCCAAGTTGTTAGAGGACGAACGTCTTTATTCAAATAAAGAAAATTAATACTGCTTTATCCTGGCTTATTTCATGGAATACTGTACAACGTATAGTATAACTCTAAGAACGCTAATACTTACTGCTGGAAGCTCAATGTGACTTGAACTTGAAGTACGGCTGCTACATATGGAATATTCGGACTCATCACGTGTTGACTTCGCTACTGGTCGTGCCGTATCATAGCAATATACCTTTCTGTATGTGATGGTGATAACTGCCACTAGAAACATTTAACCGTAAAAAAACTACAAGTTATAACTTCTTATAAAACAAAACAATAATCAACTTGCTACACGTTTCATTTAGAAAGAATGAAGTAACTACAAGAGATATATAAACAGAACAATGAATTAACCAAAATAGGCTTAAGAAGAAAAGAAGTTGATGGAAAATTGCGTTTGCTTTTCGTTTTCACTGCAGCTTTTGCCTTCCTTAATAAAGAACTTGGTCATGTCTCAAGAAGTAACTGTAAACGCGTTGATTTACTTTGACTTAACAAATATAGTTTTTACTGATACTTTATGGTCTGTATAAAGGCCAATTTATGACTTTAAGGAATCATCCAAATTGTATATTTCTAATTTGCACAATATGACATCGTTATTTTGATTAGTTGTTTTTTTATTAATAATACCATGGAGACACTTGAAGTTAGCAGTTTACTTATATTTCATAGAATGTTAATATCACCCTTTGTAATATATGTTTGTATAATTTAAAAGTTAGGAAATTGAAGAATGAGAAGAGAAATTAATTTGTTAACGTATTTTACGAAATATTTCTAAGAAATGGCTTTTTTTTACTTTGTTTCATTCAATATCATTTGATTATTAAAACAATACGTAAGGTTCAAATAAAGTAATCTACATAACAAGGTACTTTTAAAAATAAATTAAACTTAACGAAGTCACGCGAGTATGTAGTTCTAATAATAATAATAATAACTGCAAACATTTGCACACTAAACTTATATATGTAAATTTTCTTATAAAGAAACACAAAATATCATACCAGCAACAAGCGCTAACGCCAAAACTCCCAATACAATTCCAACAACAACTCCGTCATTTAAATTCGACTTCCTGTGATTAGAATGCGTAACACAAGGTTCACTGGTGGTCGGTATAGTTACTGCATCATTATTGGTTGATTCAGTTACTGCTTCAGGATTGGCTGTTTCAGTTATTACTTTGGGGTTGATTGGTTCTAGAGTAGAATTGAAAGAACTCGTGTGTACTCTTAATAGAATATTAGTTATTGTGTTTGAATGAGTTTTTGATGTTCCTGGTAGAACCAGTGATGGAAAAACTGTTGTTGGAAATTCAGGTGTAGTCCTAATATTATTAAATGTATTTATACTATGTTTTCTGATTCCTTTGGGTTGGGTGTTTGTGAAATTAACTGAGGACAAAACACCTTTTGGTTTCTGTTTGTCTGAAGAAATCCTAGAGTTAATCACAGCAAGGTCGGTGCTGGTGGGATCATGCGTAGGCACAAATTCGAAGTTGGTGGTAGCAGGACTTTTAGTAGTTCGTAAGTCATTGGACACTGCCTCTGATGAAGGACCATACAGAGTGTGTTCTCGAATAATTGGTTTTTCTGTAGTTACGATTGCAGAATATTTCACCTGGGTTAGCACATTGGTTATCTCATTGTCGTTAGTTGTAGGTATACTACCATTTGTGGTGTTGGAAATGTTTTTATCTTCAGAATTTTGAGTTCCACTAGTACCATTGTTACTGTCTACATTGGTCTCTTGAGTATAGTCTAAACCGACGGGTAGAGGTGTTTCTGTATCATATACGCCATTACTGGAGTCAAAATATCCTTTACTAAACGTATAGGGGATTTGCTCGACATCTTTTAAATTTGGTGTAGTAATAAGTACAGCACCAGTTGTGTGTGTATGTCCTGGACTTTGTGTATGACTTGCCTCCCTAACTGGATCCGTGAAGCCTGAAGGCAATGAGGTCATATGAAAACTATATCCATCAGATGTTACATCATTAGTGGGTGCTGTAACTTCTACTTGTTGTTCAGTTGACCAATGTTTTGTGACCATCCGATTGGATTCCACAGTATTTGTTTTGTACTGCATAGGAACACTAGTATTTTTCATTGACGTGGACAAATTTCTATTAATAACTGTTATGTATTCCATAGGGACTTTAGTGTATTCACTTGGCAGATGTTCCTTTCCATCATGATTATTTGATTGATTCAGAGGAAATTTGGTATAGTTTGTCAAAGTTTGATAACCTTTAACAGTCCCTTCTGTGTGTCCTGCAGTAACCCTTGTTGTTTTATCGCCTTCTGATTGGTCATTTCCTTCAGTTCTAGTGGACTGTTTCATAGCGTGTTGTTTCAAAACGTGGTCATTTCCATCATTAGTGATGATGTGTTCAAGAGAAACTTTGAAATTGTTCGTGTACAATTTATTATATTCATCAGTGATTGTTATGTATTGTGTAGGATCTGTTGAATATCCTGTCGAAATCTGATCATTTTCACCATCTTTAATTTGTGAATAAAGTTTTGCATATTCTGTTGTCACCTTATGACTGTCATCAGCACCTGTGGTATGTTTTGAAGGAATGTTCACATTGTCTAACGACAGTTGGCTTGCTTCTCTATTAATTGATGTGTGTTTCAGATGGACTTCAACAAATCGTGTCATAGTTTTGTTTTCTGTCTCATTATTCATTATTGGAGGAGCTACTGTATATTGCGATGCTGGTTGATGAATATTATCACTGGTTGTTGTCTGGTTTGGAGGCGCTCTGGTATAATGCAATGTTGGTTGATGAATATTATGACTGGTGTTTATATGGTGTGAAGGCGCTCTAGTATATTCTGATTTCACTTGATGAATGTTACCAGTTGTTGATGTGTGTTCTGATGGTACTCTGGTATATTTAGATGTTGTATGATGAATACTTTCCCTAGTTGATGTGTGGTCTGGAGGAACTCTGGTATATTTAGATGTTGTATGATGAATACTTCCTCTAATTGATGTGTGGTCTAGAGGAACTCTGGCATATTTAGATGTTGTTTGATGAATACCATGGCTTAGAGGAACTTTGGAATATGTTTTTGATGTCTGTTTTTCTTCTTTTTCTACATCTGCTATGTAATATGTAGGAAATTTGGTGGATTTTATCAAAATTTGACCATTATTGTCGTTATTGTGTGTGTATCCCTGGGAAATTTTGGTTTGTATTTTCAAGTGGTTGGCATCAATATTTGATGTCTGTCTTGGAGGATCTGTGGTATATTTTGACAAAGTATGTTGATTATTTTCGCTATCAGATATGTATTCTGGAGTAGCTGTAGTATATTTTCTTATGATATAGCTATCTTTTTTATCAGTTGTTTCTTGAGCTTGGTTATTTGCATATTTTTTATGTGTGTATTCTGGAGAAAATCCAACATTCTGTGTCGAAATATGCCTGTTTCTATTAGTGCTATTAGAATGTACTGCAGGAAAGCTGTTGTATGTTTTCGATTCTTGCTGTTCATCACTTAAAAATGATATATCCTTATACTCTGTTGACGTTTTTGAGGGTACCTTGTCATTAGGAAATGGAGGATCCTTTAATGAAATGTAAGTTCCTGGGGTTATTGGTGACAAAGTATAAAACTTTTTCGAGTTAATGTGATCCAAAGAAGATTCACGATTGTTTTGCTGTTTTAGATTGCTTTGTTTGTCACCAAAACTGGGAGAGGAAGTAACAGAGGGATCTTTGTCCCTATCTCTATGATAAAACCTTATGTTACTGTCAGACTCAGAGTTACTTCCTTTCAATAAACTATCGACAGCATCCTTCGTGTTGCCTTTGTTAGCTTTATTAATGGTGTGAGAGTCCAACGGCCAGTTAGAGTAATAATAGTTATCATTCCAACTGAAATCTGGTGGGGAAGTAGTAAAACTTGTCGGTGTAAGGTGTGGTAAATGATCTCTAAGTTCACTTGGATACGGTGTAACTCGCACACCAGGATGTTTTATGTGAGATAAGAAATATGACGAAGTTGGTCGAGGGGTGTATGGCTGATACAGAGACTGAGAATTCTCTGGTTTTTGAGTACTGTGACTGGAAAATTCCCCAGGTTTAGTGACAGGAATCTTAATCCTACTTGGACCTTTATTTTTCGTTGGCCAAGCCTGAGTGAAGTAACCCGAGGAAACAGCGTCTTCTAATTTAAATGGCAAGTAGTTCGTCCTCGAGACTTGGAAGGTTTTTGAAAAACTCTCCTGAGGGCGACGATGAGAAGTTTTAATAGAAATGGGCTCAGAAACTGCTACCCTTTCCTTGCCAGTGGCTTGAAATTGTGGACTTTCATACACATATGACGAGCTGGCAGGACTGAGGTTTACGTTCTTGGACACATGATCATCGAATCCTATGGCTGAAGTCTTCCATGGAAACGTACGACAGTCACACGATGGAGTGTCAGAACTAAGTAGGACAAGCAGAGCTGCAAATACAAAATTATAAATACATTTAGTGACTAATACATACACTTGTAACACTGACACGAAACGAAGAGCTTAATGACCAATACGTAGAACTTAAACAAAACTGTTTAGTAGTGAAACAATAAACCTGTTGTGTTTATTTATGTAAATTACGTATCGATTTCGAAGATTTTACGTTGCTACACAGGTGTAAAGGATTTTTGAATAATTAGAATTAAATCTCAGCTCTTTCGATAGAAAAGGTTGTACTTAAAGAGGCATGTAGTGTATGGCTAAGTTTATTAGTAAGAAGGCATGTATTGTATGGCTAAGTTTATTAGTAAAAAGGCACGTGGTGTATGGCCAAATTTACTTATAAGAAGGCACGTATGATATGGTCAAGTTTACTGATAAGAAGGCACGTATGTTATGGTCAAGTTTACTGATAAGAAGGCACGCATGGTATGATCAAGTTTACTGATAAGAAGGCACGTATGTTATGGTCAAGTTTACTGATAAGAAGGCACGTGTGGTATGGCCATGTTTACTGATAATAAGGCACTTGTGGTATGGTCTAAGTTTACTGATAAGAAGGCACGTGTGGTATGGTTAAGTTTATACGTAAGAAGGCACGTGTGGTATGGTCAAGTTTACTGATAAGAAGGCACGTGTGGTATGGCTAAGTTTATTGATAAGAAGGCACGTGTGGTATGGGTATGTTTACTGATCCGAATTCTGGTTGTCATTTTTCAGAGTTTTTTTTTTTTCACTTTAAATCAAAAATTCAAATCTTTACAGAATTTGTATTTGCATAAATAATTAACCACTATCAATGTTTTCTATTTATACAATGTGTTTGCAACTCACAAATCTCACAAAAACAAGGATAAAATTGCTATCTCTTGAGAACACTTTTTAGCCTAAAGTAAATCTTAAAAATTGTATTAGAAATTTTTCACTTAAACACGCGCTATGAAACTCGTATTTCCTGTGCACAGTTGCAGAGATACCTGTTCTTTCGTGTGAACGGTTCATAAATGAAAGTGAAATTATATATCAAACTAATATTACCCTCCAACCCAGTGGCTCAAGGGTAAATATGATGGCTTATAACGCTAAACATCAGGTTTTGAAACCCGTGATGGGCACAGCACAGACAACCCATTGTGTAACTTTGCGCTTAGCGACAAACAAACAGACTAATATAATAAATGTAGTGAAAATTAACTCGTTGCATGGAAAGTTTGGAAATGGTATGGACATTTTTTATTGAACGTGTATACAACGTTAAATAAACAAACAAGAAACTACCTTTTAGCGTTTATGGGTAATCGTTCAATTATACATTTAGAAGTATTACGGAGTTACGAAACTCCAAATTCCTAAGCTACATAAAACCCTTTAGGTCATAGCTTATAATTATATCATACCTTGTGTTAACCACAGAAGGTCGGATGAGGACTCGAATCTTCCCATTATGTCGTAATGATCAGTTAATGTCCTTTTTTTTTGTAGTAGTTTTGATTTGGATAGCTTAAATGTGTCTGGCTTCACTGTGCCCGACGCTCCATCTATGCATCAGTAACACAAGTGTTTGTGTGGCCATTGCTCAACTGGAAATACAAAACAAATACATGATTTGGTTACTCTCGGGAAGCTATCACGGTTGAAACACGATGATAAGAACATACCTAACATCTCAACCAATTAGCAGAAAGGATGTTTTGTTGCGTACACGTGACATTCTGTTTATATATTTTTATCAACAGAGAGAAATGTTTTGACTGTACATGGACGGTCAAGCCAGGTTTCTGTGGCCAAAATAGCAGAAGACTTGCATTATTTAAGAAGAACGATTGTTTCGGAATTATTTATTATCATATTTTTATGCTAACGAAGTTGCAGAATCAGTAATAAGGATTTCTTATTGATAAGTCAGTAGGTCTCAGCAATGGAGTCCGAAACATTGCTAACAGAACATACTATAGCTTATTAGAAACGTACCATTTCAAAGCTTTACTTTAATAGCGCTTAATTTAAGGCCTGCATTTATTTAGAGGGAGAAACACAATATACGTTTGAAAGAACGTAATATATATGTATATTAAGAATATATTAATAAAATACAAGTCAAGGAACGCAGTATACAACTTTCTCGAACTCTATATTTACATATGTATTAAACAACATATATTTTCTAAGCCACTAACACATTGTTTTATATTTAATGCATTCCGAGTGAACATTTTAATCTACTGTATATGTTAGTGTTAAACTGATGTTTTATAGTTTATCTATAATGAATAACATTGGATTCAGAAGCAGTACATGTATGACGTTAACATTATTTTAGCCCCCCAGTGGCACATCGGTATGTCCGTGGACTTACAACGCTAGAAACCGAGTCTCGATACCCGTGGTGGGCAGAGCACAGATAGCCCATTGTGTAGCTTTGTGCTTAATTACAAACAAATAAAATAAATAGCATTATTTTAATGCCTTAGTTTTCATATACAATTATTATTATTTATTAAAAACAAAAGAAGGTCTCGTTCGAAAATGCAACGCTGGTTATTCTGTCAGGTCATTAGTGAATTCGTACATAAATAGTTTGGAATATCAGCTGTATTCATTGCCACTTGAACAACATAACTTTACATTTGTAAACATTAACACTTAAAAACAAGTGTTTATTTAGTAGTAGTGCTGCTAAACAAATACTATTTCCTAGAAAAAAAAACTTCACATAAACCTAACAACTCTTTTATACAATGCATATCCACATGCTACCTAGTAGTAGCTACGTTAAACAGCACAATGCAAAGTTTTCAGCAAATAAAAGCCCCCTAGTGGTTCAGTGGTCAATCTGAAGGCTTGTAACGCTAAAAACTAGGTTTCGATACTCATGGTGAGCACAGCATAGATAACCCATTGAGTAACTTTGCGCTTAACAACAAACAAATAAAATACTGTGAACAAACATGGTTTATCTAAAATAATCTTTTTACTACCGAGGAATAGTGGATATTGAAAAAGAAAACAACTCAGTTACTTGTAGGAAGCTTAATGGATGCTTCTAAAATTAGTGAGTTTAGGGTCTTAAAGTTTTTAGCCCCCTAGTGGCACAGCGGTGTGTCTTCGGATTTACAACGGTAGAATCCGAGTTTCGATACCCGTGGTAAGCAGAGCACAGATAGTCCATTGTGTTGCTTTGTGCTAAACTTCAAACAAACAAAAATAAAGTTTTAATTAGGTATTCTATTCCGTTTCCGGACGGTCACTGACCTATACGTCTTTTTTTTTTAACTTAATCTGTCTTTCTAAAGTTATTACAATGAACAGTGATGCGTTCATTCAGAAAGTAACACATTATTTTTTATCACATAAACAGTTGAGCTTTGCCAACATAATTTTATACTTTCAAGCTTTTCTCTGTCTAATTGCAATTCGCATGTTTGTAAGATATTTGTATAACCAAGTCCTAAAATGTATTAAAATTCGTTGTATTATTTTTTATATGTTTAAACGTGGATATTATTTGTTATTTCCACCAGCAGAGCTTTTACACACCACCTGCTTGAGAAGAATAACAAACTTTAAGCTACGTTTTACAAAAACATATACAATGTACTAAAGTCTGTAATGTAGTTCAAAGAAAAGAACATTATAGTCAATTTGTTTCAGAATATGTTATTAATACAGCGTTACTATAAAGAAAATTCCGTGTTTTAAATTATCCTATCTTCAAAACTGTTTGTTTTAGGGGAGATAAATCTCACCAAAGGCATATGAAAAGTCAAAAATGTTATTCAAAAAAGTTTGGACATGGTATACCTGTCGTTTTAAAAGCATATTTTTCTGATTATATAAATCATAAATCACAAGATTGATGATACGAATAAAAATGCATGTTACTACAATACAGGATATTTTAAGGACCAATGAATTCTGTCCAAAACAGAAGATACTTATAACAGCTTCATTTAGGAATAAGTTTCATTTGACTCTGATGTTGTAGCTCCAACTAGAACGAGTATTTTTTAAGGTATAATTAGTTCTTGCTCTCTTTACATTCCTCCCTAGCTAGATCAAAAATAGTTCAGTAAACAAAGTCAAATAAAATACATACGTTAACAAGTACTAACATTTACTGGGCATCTCTTTGTACAAGAATTTATAAGCATATTAAAGAGAGAAGGGAATATGTGGAATAATTGAGAATAGGATATATTGACGTTTAATTGTAAGTTAAAGTTAACACCAACTAACTAAAAATGAAGGTACGTGTGTGTAATATGTGAGAGTGAAGGTAGTGTAGACTACTTGATAGTGGAGGACAGATGTGAACTAATTCAAAGTGAGGAGCTTGTGTGGATTAGTCAAACTGAAGGTTATTGTGGAATTTATGAAAGCGGGGATTTAGTTGATACTAGTAAAATATAAGTGAAACGTTGTGAAGTAATTCAAACCGATGTTTAATAATTGTGCATTAGAGACTAATATTGATAACTGAAAACGAAGGTGGTAGTTTGCACTCAGAGGGCTAATTTGGACCAGTTGAAAGTGAATAATTAGTATCGCAAGTCAGAAAGCGAAAAGGAAGTAACTTAAATTAAGGAGTAGAGTGGGGAAATGGCAACTGAGGGGATATTTTAGATAGCAGCTGGTTTGGACTAATTTACACTGTGGAGGCAAGTGTGGGCCAATTTACAGTGAAGGGTTCATGTGAGGTAGCTCAAATGAAAGAATAGTGTAGATAAACTGCGAGAGATAATGTATTAAATATAACTCAAAATGATTGAGTAGTAGCCGCTAACTTAATATGACGAAACTAATTGAAAGTTATGATGTTAGTATGTACTGAGTGAAAGTGTTGGAGTTGGTATGTACTGACTGAAAGTGATGATGGTAGTATGTACCGACTAAAAGTTATGATGTGCTGGCTGAAAGTGATGATGTTAGTATGTACTGACTGAAAGTGATGATGTTAGTATGTACTGGTTGAAATTGATGATGTTAGTATGTACTGACTGAAAGTTATGATGTTATGATGTGTTGGCTGAAAGTGATGATGTTAGTATGTACTGACTGAAAGTGATTATGTTAGTATGTACTGACTAAAAGTTATGATGTTATGATGTGCTGGCTGAAAGTGATGATGTTAGTATGTACTGACTGAAAGTGATGATGTTAGTATGTACTGAGTGAAAGTTATGATGTTAGTATGAACTGATTAAAAGTTATGATGTTAGGATGTGCTGGCTGTAAGTGATGATGTTAGGATGTGCTGGCTGAAAGTGATGATGTTAGTATGAACTGACTAAAAGTTATGATGTTAGGATGTGCTGGCTGAAAGTGTTGGAATTAGTATGTACCGACTGAAAGTGTTGGAGTTAGTTTGTACTGCCTGATGAAAAGGGGCAAACTTGAATTAACTGAAAGTAGTGATGTTAGTTTGGACTAATTGAAAGTGAAAGCGGTAATGTGAATTGATTGAAAGATGCAACTGTAGATTAATTTAGAGTAATGGTGTTTAATAAGGATTATTCGAAAGACAGAGGGGGCTAATGTGCACTGTTTGAAATTCAGAGGTAATGCGTGTGTGTGTGTATTATTTGCAGATGAAAGGTTAGTTTAACTTAAAAGCTTGGTGTATATATTAATTAATTGTCATAAAAGTAGATCGAGTCTTAAAAGTTTTCATTCAAATCGCACGAGCTGAATTACATAGAACTTTTTTTAAAGAACTTATATCATTTTACTCGGTTCTATAATGAGAACACCTAATTGTTCTTAAAAGTATTTTTGAGAATTATTTTCCCTTAACTCATTAATTTAATACAGAATCTATAAAAATTCTGGTTATATTCATATATTCATCCCTTGGTGGATCAGCAGTAAGTTTACGGATTTCAAACGCTAAAATTCGGGTTTCAATCCCCTGCGGTTGACAGAGCTCAGATATTCTATTGTGTGGCTTTGTGTTAAAACAAATTCAAACCGAGAGATTTATACGGTCACTTTATTTGAGTTTGGTTTCTTCTGAAATTTGCGCAAAGCTACTCGAGAACTACCTGCGTTAGCCATCCCTAATTTAGCGGTGATAGACAAAAGGGAAGGCAGTCAGTCAACATTATCCACCGCCAACTCTTTTACCAACGAATAGTGGGATTGACCGTGACATTATAATGTCCCCACGGCTGAAAGGGCGAGCATGTTCGGTGACGGGGATTCGAACCCGCGATCCGCAGATTGCGAGCTGAGCGCCCTAACCGCTAGGTCGTTGTAAACCTACCTTTATTTGAGTTTTGCATTTTATTCTCAGTTTCCTTTGAAAATGTGTCACGTTTTTCGAAATGTAATTTATTGGTGACGGGGAATATATTCAGTAATATTTTTTTATAATGTATTTGCGCTCTTAACCACAAAATCAGAAATAAAAGTGCATAATAATTAAGATATACAAATAGAGAAATGATGACGTAGTAACTGTAAGCAATATAATAACAGATAAAATTTTTGGTCTTAAAAATCATGGACAAGATACCGGTAACTTAGCATATTTCCAGTGCTGTTGCATCTTTTTTACCCCCCCCCCCAGTGGCACAGCGGTATGTCTGCGGACTTACAACGGTAGAACCCGGGTTTCGATACCCGTGGAAGGCAGAGCACAGATAGCCCATTGTGTAGCTTTGTGCTTAATTACAAACAAACAAACAAAAACTTCTTTTTTGAATTAAAAATTTATTTTTTTAATAGACATTAGATTACTATGAAGCGGTTTTCTGTGCCATAACCAATCTAACATTGTCCTGTTAAAACTGAGATGACACAGTAAAGGGCACAAAGTTGGAATAACAGCTAACGCAAAAGAAAACAAATAAACAACGACAAAAAAACACTTTAAATTTTCCCAAACCAGTTAACCTAAAATGAGGATAGCCAAATTTTAAATCTTCATATTCCCCAGAAGCAGTCTTTATTTTTTTTCTTTTTATTAACCAATCACGAAAATCTTGAACAATAACTTAGGACTAATTCGGTCAGATTCATTAAACAGAAACTTTCACGCTCCGAATAACAATTAGCTCTTTCTTCAAATAAATGTATCGGAGCATTAAAAATGAGGATAAAAAATTAAATGATTTGACACAGTACAACTAAGAATATGTAACATTCTGGACAAAATTAAGAGTGAGGACTTAAAAAAATAATACGAAAAATATTGGGATTATTCGTGCATGCTAACAGTCAGTTCAATGACTTATACAGTTCTGCCATATAAGCATTCTCGATTAATAAAGCAGAAAAGTAACAGATATGGTTATCGAATGCGTTTTTCAATTTAGAATGAGAAATATTATTTGTTCGAAATGCCTTCAACTTATTAACACCCAGGGAGAAAAGTCAAAATAAATCTACGCACAATGGTCTATTTGTGCGGCTCCACTGCTGGGATCGAACCCCAGATTCTAACATTATAGATACTCACAGTTACCGCTGAGGAGACCTCTTCTCCCGTTAGCTCAAAGACAATTCTTAGAGCTCACACCTTCGAAAACCGGGTTTCGATACTCGTAAGGTGAACAGCACGTATAGTCTTCACAACTTACCACTGAGTCACCAGAGGGCATAAGCGAGTGCCAGGCATGGCCAGGTGGTTAGGGCGCTCGACTCGCAATCTGAGGGTCGCGGGTTCGAATCCTCATCACACCAAACATGCTCGCCCTTTCAGCCGTGGGGGCGTTATAATGTGACGGTCAATCCCACTATTCGTTGATAAAAGAGTAGCCCAAGAGTTGGCGGTTGGTGGTGATGACTAGCTGCCTTCCTTCTAGTCTTACACTGCTAAATTAGGAACGGCTAGCGCAGATAGCCCTCGTTTAGCTTTGCGCGAAATTCAAAACAAACAAACAAACATAAGCGATACTGGACGTATACTACAAAATACTTATGTAATAATATTTAAAAATTATTTTTCAATATACTCCGCTAAATAAAATATTAAAGGTTAAGATCAGTAATAAAAGGGTTATATTGTCTATGTCTGTGTATTCTATGCTTTTACTACACTAGTTTCCTCTCATACTTATCAGTGAGTGTGCGAACACTTTGTTTGTGAATCTCCCATCTTTAACAGTCTCTTTTAGCTCCCCTCAAATCCACCAATATGTATGTCTGTGTGTCCTTTGCTCATATTTGTTTTTGTTATTAAGCGCTGACCAACACAATGGACATGTGAGCTGTGTTCACTGCAAGGAATCGAACCCCAACTTTTAGGGTTATAAGCCGTCAAGCTTAGCGTTAAGCCACCAAAGGACCTTTTTAAAAATAACTCCCACAACTTTGACATGTGCGTATAAGAAGCGCGAGTGTCGTCAAGTGGCCAAAATTAGGAATCAAGAGATTTCTAAATAATATTTCTCAAATATTTGTAGTTGCCATATCTTCACGCTGACAAACAATTACAAAAATCACTAAGTCGTAGAAAACAAAAAACAATGACTATAACATGGGTAAACGAGCAGAGAGTATTGACATAAAGTCATCTTGAACACCTAGCTATGCAATTCACGCATTTTCAGGTGGGAAAAAATTAAAACATTAAAAAATTAAAATGGTACGCTTTCTAGTCTCTGTGATTACTTCAGTTTTTTTGTTTTCGCGTGTGTGTGTCCGTCCCTCGGGCTAAGAATTGCACGAGAATATCATTATAATAAAAATAACAATACTAATTGCAAGATCATGAAAATTGCAGAGTTCATGAAAACTGTTAAGAATGTAACTTACTCTAGTGAATAGTCCAGAAAGTCAGATGGACAGAACATCAACAAGCACGTGCAAAGTATTCCTTGAGTGGGTGCTAAACATCTTCAACTATGATGAAGATCATCAATAAGATCATTACCAAATTATATCTTTTTCGCAGCCTGACTGCTTCACAGATTTATAGCTGAAACGATGTGATAACTGAACACAGAAACTTTCCAATAAACCAATTAAAAACTGGATAATTACATGCAAACCTCTGTACTCCACCCAGACGAACGTGTATGAGCAGCCTCAATGGTAAGTCTGCAGGCTTATGACACAAAAATCCGAGTTTCGATACCCTTAGTGAGAAGAAAACAGATAGCCCATCGTATAGCTTGGTGCTTAAAACAATAACAACCGCGTTATAACACGCTTTGGTTCGAAAGAACGTAGATGTAATTTTAATGTGATTCGTTATACTCTGTGCACCTAAGTAATGTGAGTCACATGCATTTTAGTTAATTTTTATTTGGATTTATTTATTTATTTTTGTTTCGGTATTTCTAATTTTCTTTTAGGTAATGTTACCTATGTAAATCTCAAAGTAACAAATGGTCCATTAGTATTAGTTTACGGAAGATTTGTTTGTTTGTTTGAAGTTAAGCACAAAGCTACACATCGGGTTTCGATACTCATGGTGCGTATGCAACAGATATCCCATTGTGTAGCTTTGCCCTTAAAACAACAAACAAACAACATCCAAAATATTATGATCGCTTAAAAACCCACCACAAGTCTTTATAGAAGCCCTTTTCATCGGTATCACTATTAAACATTCTATTCCATTGAAACGATAACTACCATCATAATAATAGTTTTATATAACTATCAAGCATTTTATTCCATTGAAACAGTAACTACCATCATAATAATAGTTTTATATAACTACCAAACATTTTATTCCATTGAAACGGGTAACTACCATCATAATAATAGTTTTATATAACTATCAAGCATTTTATTCCATTGAAACGGTAACTACCATCATAATAATAGTTTTATATAACTATCAAACATTCTATTCCATTGAAACGATAACTACCATCATAATAATAGTTTTATATAACTATCAAGCATTTTATTTCAAACATAGTTTTTGTTTTGAATAGTCAAAACAAAAACACAAAATGCAAGAGCATTTTACTGAAATATATTAGAACAGTAACCTCCTCCCCTCCTCAATTGAGCATTATCTTAGTAACTTGGCTGGTTACTCAGATGGATGGTGAGTTGGGAAAGTTTACGAACCCCTGGTCTAAACTCTTCCTTGTTATTGCGTGTGACGCTAGTACAATAGTGTAACCATCACAACCACAGGAGGGGCTACCTGTAACTTATTGGTTAGCTTATTAGTAATGTGAATGTGAGGGTTCTTGGTGGGCGTCCCGTTGCCGCAGAAACGCGCTTTGCACTTTAGAGTCGTGGATGCGTTATAAGAATAACGGTCAAACCCAATTATCCGGTCAGACAAGAGTGACCGAAGAGTTGGCAGTGGGTGCTGTTAACTAGCTGTCTTCCTTTTAATCTATCAGTTCAGAATTAGGAACAGCTCTACGTAGATATCCATTATGAGGTTACATACGAGAAAAGTCTAAAACAGGTAAACAACTTGTATTTTTCTTATAGCAAAGCCACATTGGGCTATCTGCTGTGTCCACAGACGGGAATCAAACCCCTGATTTTAGCGTTGTAAATCCGTAAACTTACCACTGTCCCAGCAGGGGACCAGATAAACAGACAACCAGAAGAAACTAACGAAAACCAAATTTTATTCATAATGACTGTTAGATTATCGCTATCATTAATATCTCCATGAAAATAAATCTCAATTGTGTGTTACGGCCATGTGATTAAAGAAGTACGTTATATTTTACCATTGAGTGGAACAGTATAACTGAATGTGCTAGTGTCATGAATTTCTTCGAGTACTATAATATTATCTCACCTGAAATAATAAACTTTAAGTGATGAACACACTCCACACAAGTTCTGACATCGATCCACAACTTTCAATGGTATTTAATTACAAGCGTAGAGAGGCCGAAAGTAAAGGTCATTCCACTTCTTAAGTACGTGCAGATATCCAAGCCATAGTGATTAACATTACTTCAGAGACAACTTCTAAATTTTGTCAAAGGTGGAAAATCTGTAAAAAGTCACGCTATTAAGAAAAAACTCCTGAACTTAATCTGGACCTTAACTGAAAAATAAAACAACACATGCATTTAATCTCGACTTTAGCTTGAAAAACGAACTGTGTATTTCATCTGGATCCTTACTGAAAAAAAACAACAACAACTCGTGTACTTAATCTAAACCTTAGCTACAGTTTATGTATTACTTCAAAGCACATTTGTAGAGAAGTCCTTGCTTGTTGCCATTAGCAGAGAATGTTTAGTATGTATACTGACACCACAGCGTTTAACTCTATGATTCACATAATTCCACAAGAGGGCAGTTAGTAGATAACACCTCTGTAGTTTTTGGACCAATAGGAAAACAGAACACTGCGACCCGCAATCAACTTGTACTTAATTGCATGCGTGACGAACCATTGAAACACGGTGATACGAAACATTTTATTCTTCTACTATATATTTATTTTTTGGGCGTGGGGGGGGGGCTGTTTTGTGAGAGTACATTTACTCTGAAAACCTGACGAAAGAGAATTATTGGGGCGTAAAACAACGCTCATCTGCGAACAACGGCAAACGGAACCGGATAGTTTTATAGTTTGCAGATATTCCCGTTGAAGACTTTTTTTTTTCGTTTACATCTGTTGAAAAACACACGATTGTTTCCTTACGCACCAAGTAGAAACTTTTGACATTTATCTTGTTTATCTGTTGTTTTATATGAATTATCTTTTCATGTAAGTAACGTTTATTATAATTTTTCGATAAATGGATTCTAACCCCCCCTTTTTTTTCCATCAAGATAAAACCTCATTCCTTCATATTCAGGGCTTTTTGCCCTGGGCTATGTGTAACGTCCATTTAACCAAATCTACGTAGAATTTTAATTTACTTAAACCTATTTTTAATCTGGTTTTATTAGGGTTTAGATGCATCTGGTGGAGGAAATATGCGAAATCTTAGAAGTAGGCTATACACTTCGTCAGCTTAATCCAGTTCTCACCGAAATAGTTGTTCAAACAAATAGCTAATATAAATATCGGCTCAAACACTACTTGTTACATCTATCGTATCACAGCCGGCCTGAAGATCACTAGTATTAGACGATAGGCCTCGTCAGCACTAGATATTGCACACTAACTTCTTTTTTTTTCGCCTCCCCCTAGTGGCACATCGGTACGTCTGTGGACTTACAACGTTAGAAACCGGGTTTCGATACCCGTGGTGGGCAGAGTACAGATAGCCCATAGCGTAGTTTTGTGCTTAACTTCAAATCAAATAAACAAACAATATTTTTTTAAAACTAAATTAAAAAACAACGATTATTTTATACACAATTCTATAAAAATGAGATTGTTTCCAAATTACTAAAATAATAACTTATTGT